CATCAGGGTGTGACGTTTGAAACCAAGCTATATAACCCCCTGTTACCCATCAATAAACGCCATTTGCCGTCCACTGTAGGGGAAAGGGAGACTGCGACACCATATGGTCATCGACAAGACTCGTTTATTGAACATTCAGTGTGCACTCTTATACACAACTTAATTAGGTTCATGCATATTGCAAGGCTTGAGCTCAGGATAGGTTAGCTCTTATTTGCGTCAACTCTTTGCCTCCTTATCTGACTCTCCGCAAGATCTCCTTATCTCTTAGTCAGCAGTCCTTCCACCCTTTCAGCTAGGCCTGGCGCCCTTCTGCCCTTATCTGGCTTGCTCACAGCATGACCACTGGCCTTCAGAAACCCCACAGACACCTTCCTTCTGTTAGTGACTCTTCTTGCAGAATGTGCGTTAAATTCAGAAGGGATGTGTAAAAAAGTGGTCATACGAGCTGGTAAATGTGTGAGTTGGAAAGAGCAGTGCCCAAGGTGCCCAGGAGCAGAGCACATATCACCTGCCGCTCACTGCCCATCCGCACAGACCTGCTCTGGCCATTGTGAGCACAGTCAGGACACACTGAGCAGGGTGCTCACACACCAAGGTCTGACGGCTCTCCAGAGGACACCTGCCTTCATGCAAGCTGTATCTGGTGGCCATGTGAGCCCCATCCAAAGAGCAACTTTGGAGCTGCCCACAGCTAATCATGCTGATGCACCTAGAGTGTCTAGTAGAGCCTCTGCTCATCAGACTTGTGCTCTGGACTGCCCATATGAGTGCTAGCATAGTCAAAGTTTGTCCAGATAGAAGCATAAACAACATTACAGTTGGACTTGATGATCTTGAAGGTCTTTTCCAACCATAATGATTCTGTGAGTCTACAAGGCTGTTACTCTAAGCATGCATCTTCCTGGGGCCTTTCTTCAAAGATCCCTCACAGCACCTCTACCTGGTCTGGGCCTCCTCCTTGGGCTGCTTTTGTAGCCTCTCAGCTCAGCAAGGGATCATACTTGCATGGACCATTGTGCTGTTTTTATTTTGTACCCAGCGTTGCAATCTGGAAAATGCATCTGATCCAGGGGCTGCTTATCGCCTGAGCCATTCACATATTCCTCTGGGTAAACAGCCTGCCGGCAGCCTGGCCTTCCAGGAACACTGAACAATAACACGTTGCCTCTGCCTAAGAATTGCAAAGCACTTTGTAAGCATTAGTGAATTAGGCCTTGCAGCTGCCCATTTCCCTTTAGTCATTACTATTCAAGTAACGGAGGAGCCCAGAGTGATCGTGTCAGTTCCTAACAGAGACAGTCACTGTTGTCAGGGCTGATGGGCTGCTCCTAGCTACCATTTGACAACAATTCTATGCAAATTTGGAGTGGGACCTGCCAAATTTCCAGCTGGAAGTAAGAATGAATTTGTTTGCTTTGTGCTCTCAGTGTTGGAAGTGTTATCAGTATTTGAAGAAGCTTTACTTCTGGATGGTCCTTTCAAAGAGATTAATGAAGCTCTCCTTCATTTATTCCATATTTGTACTATGCTTTTCCAAACAGAAGTTCTGAGGTTTCTTTAATTTGATTCTAAATAAAAATCAGAGATCATTCTTCTGTAAAACTATCCAGAGTTCAAGCTGGTTGGCCATTCCTCCTTGTTGGGTACAAAACCACAGGTAATGAAACACCCCCTTGGTTCAATCTTTGGCTTTCCCTGTCAATCTCAGCCCAAGAAAAAGCTGTCAGCTTGTAAAAATGTGCTGTTTTCAACCCTTGCCTGCTAAGTACATAACAGCTCTGCTAACTTCACCTTAAAAAATATCAAAAATCTAATAAAACAGAGCTTTCCACATGGTTAGAGTGTGGCCAAGCTTATAACTGAAGTACAAGGAATGAGTAGAAATGACATGGTGCTAAGCAGATCTCAAAACTCACACCAGGGACAGTTAAGTAGGTATAGAACATGTTCAAGGGGACTAGAAATAAACAGCTAATTATGTAGAAACACAGTTAAGCATAGATAAATGACAGAAATAAGAGCAAAAGGCTCTCTACCAGGTGAACTGCCATCAGAGTCCATCTGCACACTCTTAGGTTTTCCCACTGTGGCGTTTCTCTGAAGTTTACTCCAAAGTGTGACACCTCCTAAGTGGAGCAGGCTGAGCACACTCTGTTATTGAGGCTCACATGATAGGGGTAACTTGCTAAGTCACTTTAACTTGATGTATTTAACTGCATGATCTATATCCAGATGTTTGTATTACCCACTTGATCTTCTGATGTTCACTTGGTAGTTACCTGTCCCTGCCTAGGAAGCTCTGAGAGCTAATGTGGGACAGGGATTTAGGATTTATAAAAGAGATTTTTGTACCTAAAGTTGCATATATGAACCTGGAGGAGTTTGCAAAGGAACTAATAATCAATGCATTCTCTTGCTGTGTTCATTGCAAGGAGCTCCCTCTCCCTGTATAACTATGGGACAAAATACATACAGTTAGACATGAACTCTTGCCCTTGGTGGCAAGGCCTAAAATGCTCAGAACAGACAACCTTTGAGCAGCTTGGTATAAATAGTTGAAAAAAATGAGCACCCAAGGATGTAAATAAATTTCTTTGCTTGCTGGGAAATAATTGCATTTTGAACTCCATGTATTTTAGGGTAATTCAATTATTTGCGAGGTACAAGATTTGAAATCTTCAAGTGTTAGATCAGCTAGTCAGCAGAGAAAAATAGAGTGAGATTCGGAGACATAAACCTAAGGCTCATTTAGGGACATTAAGGTTAATTCTCTATCAATGCATGTGCTCAAAAACAAACAAACAAACAAACAAACAAAAAAAAAAAACAAAGAGCAGGAAATGTCATGCCAGAGCTGGGGAGGAGGTTGTACCTTCCAACTCTCATTCTGAACTGAAATCTTCCAGGAAGCATTTTAGAAGCAGGAGTCTTGAAGGTGGAGAAGAAATTGGATCATTCTGCCCTGTCTCTGGGTGACTCTCCCAGGACTCTCTCTTGCTCTGAAGCAAGAACTCATCTTGAATTCCTGCAGCTGCAAAGCAGGAAAATGATTTCTGACCTCCAAGCCTATGGATCTCTGTTCTGTGGTCTGCAGCTGCAGGCAGGATGAAGGATAGCCTCAGAGCAAGGAGTTGGCTGGTTCTGCTTATTTCAAAGTTTAACATGGAACCCCAGACCAGTTGGAGACCAGCAACGCCTGCAATCTATTGCTGCCACTTCTTTTCAAACCTGACTCATTATAAATACTAATAAATCTAGTGCATCATTGAACTTTAGAGGCAATTGGCTTTAGTTTGTCTAGAAAAGGAAATTGCCACCTACTGCTTACCTTAACTAACGTCCATGACACTATCCACCCATCTAAGGAGACAGAAAAGAAGTTCAAGTTGTTGTCCATGTCATCTTTTTGCCACTTGACCTTAAAACAAGCAAACAGTCCCAGTCAGCACTGGGCATGCAGCATTAGCAGAGCAGAACAGAGTCCTGGGCATTCAGCAGTGTCTTCTCACATCCTTCCTAAAGAGGATGTGGTTTTCAGCCAAGATGCCTGATGCTGGGCATCTCATAGCTTCCAAACACACTCCCTGCTCTCCACAGTCTGTGTGACAGCCAGGGCTCCCTGTTATTCACAGAATCACAGAATGGCTGAGCGACTCTCCTGCGGGGATGCTGGTGGGAGGGCAGAGTCCCACATCTGAGGACTCTGTCTAATTCAGAACCATCTGCCCACCATCAACAGGAGCACTGCTATCGAGGACAGGTCTCTTGAGGCATCTGAGCCACATAGCACTAGACACTACAGTGCAGTGCCTTCTCAGAGATCCCTGAGCCTACTCCAAATAGCGGTGCTAGTGGGTAGTGCAATGGTCTCCAGAGCAGGACACTTACACAGGTAAATGATTTCTCTCTGCAAAGTAACCCCATTCCATTTGGCTAACTACTCCAAGCACAGTGCCACGTGGTTACCCTTCAGTCAGCCCACATCACATTAGCTTTCTGTCCCTATGTGAGGGGCAGACAAGCCCTTGCAGGCAGTTACATTTTCCTAAATGCAGATACATTTTCCTAAAAAACATTTGTGATAAACAGACATAATTATCCTGGTGCTTACCAAATACTCCATCTATGACCAGTTATTTACCTGGAACCTACTCCAGAAAATAAGCAGCATTCATATACTTTAATTACACAGATTAGATATCCTGATACTACTTCCTTGGGAGAAATAGTGTTATTTCTATTTTAGAAAATTGTTTATACTATGAAGCCCTGTGGAGCATGAAAATTCAGCAAGAGACTCACCACAGAGTAATTAATCCTCCAGTGAACAAGTTTCCTACCTAGAACATGCTGTTCTGAGGAAGGAAAAACAAAATTTTACGGGAATCCATCTGAGAATGAATCAAAATACCAGTAACACGGCCATGAGAAACAACCGAAGAGTCTCATGAAAGCAAATATCTTTAAGCATCCTTGCACCAGAGAAATAATAAGGTTCTCAGTGGTTCCTTCTGCTATCTTACCTTAGCGGAGCGGCACAAAACAATACAGCCCAGAATAAAATGGCTACTGAAGTAAGAGTTAGTTCAGTGGCACACATAGGGAACAGTGATTTCCAAGGCTGGAATAGTGCCATAGTGCATAAAATGTGCTGGATATCTATTCCACAAATGTGTTCTTGGGATCATGACCCAGCACTGACAGTGATGGTCATCAGTGGGTGCTTCAGATGAAGGGGTTAGCATAGTGAGGATTTTTAATTCAAAGTGAGAAATGTGGTGTTCAGAAGAACTGGTTACAAACACAGGTCTCAGGTGTCTGATGTGAGGCACATAAAAATTATGTTTCAAATTTGAAGGTTTTTTTTTTTTAATGTCACTCTAAACCTGTCTGACAATAAGATCTTTCTATTCATATATCCAACATATCTCTCTCTCAATTCATGTCCCTCCTATCTACTTTCCCAAATGTTTTTTCAAATAAAAAACTTGGCTTGAGGCAAGGGAAGCAAATTCCCAAGGCAGTATCTTCTGTGAAAAGACAATGCTAGGATTTTGCTATATAAGCTTGGGAGCAGTTAGCAAAAGTGTCCCAATATCCTTTACTGTGCCAGGACCACACCAGAGGAAAAGCAGATTCCCAGTATCTGAAATCTCCAGATTAAACCCAACAATAACCCAAGATGCACATGAAAGAGAACTGCAGGCCACACACATCTTTGCTGCAGTCAGTATGGGTCTGAGCCCATCCTTAAGCCTAAAGCCACCATCTGCCCCACTTACACGATGTAGATGCTTAGATCACAGCTGGTTGAGGTCTTCTCTGAAGAGAGGCCCAGCACAGCTACCATCAAAGTACACAGCCAGGCTCTCATTAGTGACATGTGCTCAAGCTGGGCAGAGGCAACTGAAGCCGATTTCACCAGCTCTGCTCTTGCTAAGCACAATGTAGACATTTTGTTCCTGAGCTAGAGCCAAGTAACAGCCCATCATAGCAACAGAAAACATGCAGATGAAGGCCCAAGCGCTGGAGTCCTTCCTTGATCCCACTGTGTGAATGCTGCCTGGAGTCCTCATGTCCACACTAACACAACCTGCTGTAGCAAGCTGGTGAAGACCTTTTCCCCAGCATTTGCACGCTCCAAGGACTCTCCCCAGTGGGGATCTAGTTGAGTCTTTTACCATCACTTCTCAGTTAGATTTAACAAACCACTTCACCTCATGCATTGCACAGACAGCTGGGGTCAACTGCCCCAAACAGCCAAGTGGGCTGATTTGCTTGGTACACTCCTGCTCCTAAATTCAAATCAGTCAACAGAAGTCAACAAATTCTTTCAATTTGCCTTCAACACCTCTGACACCTTAATAGTGTTTGTGATTTTCTTTTCTCCTGATCTCTGAATACCATGAACACTTATTAGAGTGATTAACCTTCACGATACTGCAATAAAATTGGGCATCTGTTCAGAATTGGTCTTTTCTCTCCTCCCAGAGGCCTGTGAACATGGCATAACCTCCTGTCATTAGCAATATCCAGGCTGTATGAGGTGGCACATTTGACAAGAGCACTAGGCAACTGTGCATATGGTAGGAAAGTTATTTATTTTCTGAAGCTTATGATAATGATCCTAGGATTTTAGCTGCATGATACAATTCAAAGAAAAAGTTCAACTATGATATGGCGAAAGCAAAGAACCATATGAGAAAGGAAAGTGTGTGTAAACAGGGGAACTGAGACAAGTAAACATAATGGTGCAAGTCACTTGCTGTGACAGATCATTGTGGGATCTGCAATAAAATCAAGGAAAACTGCTCTTTAACCTGACTGTTTTTTGCAGTGCAAAAATAGCCTGTGAAACTCAGTGCTATGAGGTAACTGTGAGAAGAGCCTAGCACTTTCTTCTTTTTGTGAAGCCTGTTTTTTTGAAGTAAGACTGTGCAAATCTGTATTTGTTCATAAAAACATAAAGGTAGAAATCTGTATGTTCGCTGCTATGTACATAGGGTTAGCAGGGCAATAATCCACTAATTCATGGCAAGAGAATACTATCATCTTTGTGGATAGCAGCTGGTAGTGGCTCTTGTTCAAGGCAGGAGATTAGTCCAATCTGATTTGAAAATTCCTATCTTTCTGATGTCATTTCTATATAAGAAATAATGCTGGATCAGTTCTCATGGTGTGGCGGCCACTAGTCCCCCACGTTAGCAAAATACAATTGGTCAAAACAATCCCCACCATGCGGCTGCCTTGGCTGCTTTCTCGTAAGGGGACACCTGCTATTGCAAACACAGATCCCTCCAGCTGCCTCTCAATCTGCCAAACTGTAGGGTGCAACACACAACAGATGCATGATGACTATTGAGCATTTACTTCTGTCCTTGTTAATTAGCTTCCATGGAGCCCTTTGCTGGAGCTGGAGTAACAGGACTCGACTGTCTCCTGTCCTAAGTCAAAGAAATGAGTTCTGGTCATTCAGCGCTTAAAAGAGTAAGATCTGTCACAGGTAAAGAGGAGGAGACACAAAAGTATTAGTGAATCTCCAGGACCCCCTTCTAGGAACTGTTTGGGTAAGACATGCTCAGACAACTCCAGCAGGTGACAATCTCCCTGGGCTGCTAAAGAAGGTCCCTGCCAATGTGAGCTAGAGACAAATTCCTCCCAATGCCAACCTGGCAATCCGTGTGGCCCTCAGCAAAGCCACCATGGCACTGTCTGGGTGGGAGGTGACCAAAGAGGACCTCTATCCTGCTCTGATGCAAGGCGAGATACACCGTTACCATTGCTGACAGTTCATCTGGCCTATTCTCATAAGCCTCCAATGACAGGCACTTCTTGTGTGATGACTTTATTATATTATTATTGTTATAGCATTGTAGCATTGGCTACATATGGGAAATCTCCTTTACTGCAAATCAAGCCAATTACTCCTTGTCATCTCTCTTTTGTTCATTCCCTCCTTGAAGCAGTCTTTGAAAGGACAAGAAAAGTTTATAGTGTCACTGCTCTTCTTTCTCAGACAAACCCCATTACTCCAGTGTTCCTTCCAGATCCTGTTCTCTAAGCTTTCATCCTTCCTGTTCCTGTCCTTCATCCCTTCTCTGCAGCTGGAAACACGCTCTGCCAAGCCTCCCCCAGGCATGAGCAGGCAGGACTGCAACCTTCTGCATTTCAGATTCCTGCTAACACAGCAGAACAGCACGTGTCTCTCAACAATATTGCACTGCTGACCATTGGCTGCGATCTGCCATAATCCCCCTTCTGGCACCCTGCTGCCTAACCAGCCATGCCTTGTTTTGTATCCATGCATTCATTTCCCCTTTCTAAATGTAGTATTTGCACTTGTCTTTATTGAATTTCATCACATTGATTGTGGACCTTTCTTTCAATTTATCAAGATCATTTTGAACATAATTTCATCCAGCAAAGTGCCCTGTCCTCCCAAGGGGGCTTCCTTATTCTGTAATTTAAGTTGTTAATGAAAGTATTGATCATAAGAACAGGCTGGACCAGCAATTGGAGGGTCTCACTTGAAGTATCTTCACAGTCTGACAGCAAGCCCTGGATAACTGTTCTTTGAGCACACTGCCTGAGCCACCTGAGCAACCTCTTAATGGTTATTTTATCTAATCTATATTTCTCTGCTTATAAAAATGTCACTGTGTGAGCCTGGATCAAAAGCTTTAGTCAAGGCAAGATGGATAGAGGTGATAACCTCAACTGCCTCCCCTTCTTCATGATGCCCATTTCTCTAAAACAAAAGAAATAAAAGAAATTGTACTAGCCTGACAATTTATTCTGCACAAATTCATCTCAGCTTCACTGAATCACTCTGTTATCTAGACATTTACAGATGGTTTTGCC